TTGCTCTGCAGTGTACGCTACAGGTGGGTTCTTCTGCCCTTATGTGTCTGCATGTCCTCAGCAACGCTTTCTTACGGGAGCTCACGGCTCCTGCTGCTTCTAACCGGAGTGCTCGGAGCTCTCAGGACCCACATGAAGACCCCGAGCTCTGCTCTCGTCCCTGCTCTTGCGTCTGCTGAAGAAGCCAAGGGCTCGTCAGGCTGCATGGGGTGGCGGGGTGAAATGATCCAACCGAGGGTTTTTTTTGAGGCTTAAGGAGCTAAATTGTTAACTTCTGGTAAGATCATCCCTGAATGGCACTGCTGTCCAGCCTCGCATCCGAAGCGGAGCACAAGAAATCAGCTGTCGTTTAAAGAGGCAACCTGGGCCTGAAACTTTTCCATGCTGCCTCGGGAATGGGCCTGGAAGAAGCAGCCTGTTGCAGAAAAGTGCTCAGATCCTGATTGAAATCTGTTCAATTTTTACTATTCTACATCAGTTTTGCCCCAGAAACCTCTCTGTGGGATGGGGCAGGGTGTCTCTGTGCTGCTGAGACGTGTTACTAAGTCAATAATACCTGGTTAATGTAGCTGCTGGAAGTCAAAGAGCCAGGAAAGCGCAATATGAATTGGGTGGGCGTTAGTGAGCGCGGAGCCGTGAGCCTTCGGGAGCCGGCGCTGAGCGGGTGGAAACCAGGCTGGAAGGAGCCTGGCGTGCAGAGTCCTGAGCACCTTCCTGGAGAAAATCATAGAATCATAGAATGCTTAAGGTTGGAAGGGACCTCTAGAGATCATCTAGTCCAACCCCCCTGCACACGCAGGGTCACCTAGAGCACGTGGCACAGGACTGCGTCCAAGCGGGTTTGGAAGATCTCCAGAGAAGGAGACTCCACAACCTCTCTGGGCAGCCTGTTCCAGGGCTCTGGCACCCTCACTGTCAGAAATTTTTCCTTAAGTTCCTATGGAATTTTTGGTGTTTCAGTTTCCGGCCATTTCCTCTAGTCCTATCAGTGGCCACCACTGAAAAGAGACCAGCACCGTCCTTTGCACTCCCTCCCTTGAGGTACTTCTAGACACTGCTCAGGTCCCCTCTCAGCCTTCTCTTCTCCAGCTGAACAGGCCCAGCTCCCTCAGCCTCTCCTCACAACGCTCTTCTTAACGCACCCGAGGATCCCAACAAATGCAGAGCATCAAGTAGCTCTTTCATTTAGAGGCATCCTCAATGCAGAGGATTTATCCCAGAGCTGAAGCCAGGTGCACTCAAAGTGGAAATAAAAGAGACCCAAAGTGTTCAGGAGGCATCAGATCCAACGGGCAGTAGCACAAGGGGAGTCTTTGTCTCCTTGGGTCATCCTGTGCAGCCAGGGCACTTCTCTGGGAGGTGACTTTCTGGGCTCTGTTAATCTACAAGGTTAGATTTCCTGATCCCATTTACTCCCAAACTGAGGATCTGTGCCTGGGTTTAGACACGAGGGGGTGGCTCTGATGACAGCTCCAGGGACTGCAGATCTCAGTGACTTCGCTCCATCAAGGACCACCTGCAGATAATACTGTGTTGGTAGATCTTTATGAAGCAGGAGGACTCCGAGTGCTAATTTTTATGCCTCTTTTGAAAAACTGGCTGCCCCAACCCAGTCGTGCCTGACCCCAGCGATTGGAGGTAATTTTTGGTCCCAACTCCGGTTTTTGTCCGTGAGCGGATCCCAGCCCGCGCCCCGCCGACACGGACCGTCCGAGCCGTTCCTTGCTGGAACCTTTTATCTCAATGTGCTTCTGAGAACTTTTTATGGTAAATGTTGCTAAACTGCAAGCAAGGGTATAATAAAACAGTGATTTAAGAATAATATACTGACAACTGGAAAAAATGCACTTGACGTACCATTGTGGAGCGATAATACGGAGCCTGGTATTCAAACAACCTCTTGGTCACTCTGAAAGTCCTTGGGCAGATTTTAAAGGCTTGCAGGCTCCAGTCGTGTCCTTGTTGCCCATTCTAAGCTGTTGTCTAGTTCATAAATTGCACATTGTTCATCTCGACCTCCTCGTCAAAGCCCCAGCTGACACGTTTGTCTGCTGGGCTCGTGCAATCTGATAAGTCGTTTATGGCAATAGGAGGATAACCTAAATTCTGCCTCAGAGCGCTCGGTTCTGCGTTCAAAATGAAAGGCTTTATCTCAGTTGGGGCTTTTCCTTTTTTCCTTTTTAAGCACTTGAGAGATATCGTGTATTTCCATGGCTCCTCCGAGACGTTTCATCCAGTGAGTCCAATCCGTGCGCGTGCGCCGGGCCAGTGACTCGGAGGTGGGAGCCGCAGGTCTATTTGCAAAAATCAAATGTAAAACCAGGCTTTGCTGGCTGCCGCTTCCCGGTTTCCCACCTGGCCCCAGCGTGGCCCCCTCTGCCCTGGGTTTTGGGCCTTCCTGCAGTGGCTGCCCGTGGCCGCTCTGCCCGATGCATCCGGACTGCGGCCCCGCGGGACGTGAAGGGTGTTAGCAGTTTGCACGGTTCCAGGCGTGGGTAAAACCACTTTGTGAAAGAGAAATCCAGTGAGCGCTTAGCAGGGGGAAAAGCATCCCCTCTGGCTCAAGCCAGGAATCGCTGCTTCCAGGGAGGGCTATCGTGGGATGTGCTGCTCTTGGCCTCTTCCTTTTACCCTCTGGGACACATCTCCGACGGAGAAGGGGTAGGAACAAGGCAGCCCTTGGGCTGCTCTCCCCACGTGGGATCTATCCAGCCTTGGAACGAGGACCATGCCGCACTCGGTGGGTCCCTGTTGGGCCTGGCCAGCGTCACGGACACTGGGGCCGTGCAGTGGAGCTTCAAGCAGGACCCGGACTGTGACTTTTCGGGAGCTTCAGCAAAGCAAGGCAGGGGCGCTAACCCCGGGCTTTGCCTAGGCCTAGAATCAAATCAAATGTGGTGTGTAATCACTCTCTGCAAAGTGACAGCTTCTCCGACGTGTTTTGGGAGCTCTTCCATCCACAATACCCCGTGCTGTGGCTTAATTTCCTCCACACCTCTGCATTGTTTTACAGATTCATTGCAGTCCGGTGTTGCTTTTCCAAATCTCATTTTCTAGCACCTAAACAACCTCACGTGTCAGCCCGGGACCCTCGCAAGGAAAGCTGAATTTGGTAGGCTGTCTGAGCGCGTTAACGTTAGGTCCTACTCAGGCTCCTGGGGCTCGTTGTCTATACACGGGAACCCATCCAGGCTCCTGAAAATCGCAGTTGTGTTTCAGAGAAATCCTAGCGAATCCCGCGGTTCCCCAGAGTGAGGGCGGGAGGACACGCTGATGGTCGGCTATGGAGGCACCAGGGCACTTTGGGACAGCGCTGTGTCTCCAGCGAAGCAAATCCTGCTGCAGAAAGTTCCAGCGGGAGCCGTCGGAGTTTCCGGGAAGCCACCTAGTGGTTTCGGATTCGCACGGTTCACGCCAGGAAGAGGGAAGCTGGAGTGGCAGGAACGGTTCCGCATGCCGGTGCCGGCGTCGCCGCGCACGGAGCGGCGTACGGAGCGGCACGCGGAGCTCGGCCCCGCCGCGATGTCGCGAGGGCAGAACACGGCACCGTGCCCTCTTTCTGGGTCACGGAGGAATTAGATATTAAGCAGGGGGAGGTTATCTAACGCCCTGCAGCTTGTCTCTTCCAAAGAAGGAACGTGATGGACCTTCTTACGTGTCCTCGTGGCCTTCATCGGCTGTGGGTGGCATCGGCCGCCCTCTTTCACAAAGCCGCGGTGATGCAAGGACAGACACGGCTTTGGAGCAGCTTCCGCGCAGGTTGGGACGAGGATGCAGCAAAGAGGCAGAGTCTGCAGTGGAGAGGGAGGCTGGAGGTAGGTGCCAGCCTTGATGGAGCCACAGCCTGGCCCCAGGTTCTGTGGTATAAACCAGCGAGGTTGTGTGGTTGGCGCCCGGGTTGTCCGACACTGCGCGCCGCATCCTCCGTGCGCCGCTCTGGACGCTCTGCAGCGTTTTGAGCGGCGCTCGCTCCGTGCCGCTCCACCACCCCGGGCTCTTCCCGGAGCTGCGTGGCCGCTCGGGCCCCATCCCGTCCCCCAGAACGTTTCACTCCCACCTGCACGGACAAGTTTGCATCAGTACTCAGTGCAGCTGGGGATTCTTCTGGCTTTGCTTCCGGACCCGAGGTTGTTTGACTTCCACTGCAGGTTTCTGGAGCGTTTTCAGTGTTTCCTGGTGCAATATCTGCACGTTGCACATTTGTGACTAACGAAATACCAATGCAAAGAGTAGGGCTCCTTGCTCAGCTCCTGACCACGACCTTGTGTAAGTAGCTCCTCTTTCCTATGCCCGCCGCTGAGCTGTAATGTGCACCCACACAACAGGAGCTGAGTCTGAACGTGTTTCCCTCGTTGCCTTGCAAGGAAGCCAGGCGGGATAGCCCTAATGCATATCAAGATACACGGCACTCGCTGCTGCTGCCGCAGCCCTTCGCCAGGCCGGTTCCGCTGTCATCGAGGGAAATTAGATTGTTCCTGACAAATCTGCAACGGGACTCCCTTATCATCTTGTTATCGTCTAAGTGCTTACAAATAGGTTGCTTCATGACTTGTTCCATCAGTTTTCCAGGAGTTCGAGTTAAGCGACCGGTTCGTAATTCCCCGGCTTCTCCCTCCGCCTGTTTGCAAAGCCGGCTGCGGCGTGCGCTTTTCCTTTGCAAGCCTCTCCTGCCTGCCTCCAGGTAACACAGGAATAATCGCTCAGGAATTGCTTCAGCTGAGCCTCTCCCGGATGCCTTTGGAGCAGCGTATCCCTCCAGGCTGAGGAATGGACAATGCCCTGTCCTGGTGCCTTGGCAGGAGGCCTTCTCTGTCGCCCTGTGGCTCTGGCTTTGCTGTTTCACTTGATTCCTGACCTTTCCGTTCACTCAGCAGCACTTTCGGAGGGTTAAGGTTATTGAGGGAAAGGTTTTGAGCGTTCTCTATAACCTGCAATGCTGCTGAAAACGTGGGCCTGGCCACGACCGCGGTTACCATCAGCACAAGCTCCTGTTAGCAGCCATGGAGCCACACGGCTGCCGAGGTGGGTATAATCCGACCCTTTGAGGGATTCTCAGGAATGTCGAGTAACTTTTGGTGTCAAATTTGGCACCCGTTGCTATGACCTCAGTTTTGAGGCAGTGGCGATCCTGGTGTTTCGTGGTGCCTGGGAGACATCATGCGTGGCATCACACGTGCAGGAATCCCTTTGTCACGTTGTATTGACCTTGCCAATGTCTATTTATTTATTCATTACATCTGTTTGCTGATTTCTCAATTCCTTTTCTTTTTCCTTTTTTTTCCCCCCCCTCCCTCCAACAGGAATCATTAACCAATGGCAACAAGAATCCAAGGATAAAGTGATTTCCCTCCTGCTAACCCACCTGCCCTTACTGAAACCAGGCAACATCGAGGCGAAAGTCGAATACATGAAACTCTTGCCTAAAATCCTGGCGCACTCGATTGAACACAACCAGCACATCGAGGAGAGCCGGCAGCTGCTGTCCTACGCGCTGATCCACCCGGCCACCTCGCTGGAAGACCGGAGCGCGCTCGCCATGTGGCTCAACCACCTAGAGGATCGCACGTCGGGGAGCTTTGGCAGCCAAAACAGAGGCCGCTCCGACTCTGTGGATTACGGGCAGACGCACTACTATCACCAAAGACAGAACTCCGATGACAAACTCAACGGATGGCAAAACTCTCGAGACTCGGGCATAAGTGTCAGCGCTTCCAGCTGGCAGGACAAAAACCTGGCGTGTGAGAACGGCCATCTGCCCCTCTACTCCTCCTCCTCTGTCCCCACAACTATCAATACGATTGGAACTAGCACAAGCACCAGTAAGTACCAGCGTGAAACGCCGGGGAGGGCCGCGCAGGGCCGTTTTCCACAGCATAGACCCCCCTGCTAGAAAATACTTCTTTGCGGTACTTAGTAGAGGAGCTGGTTTCAGTTGGGCCACAGAAAACTCCTCCTTTCCTACCTGCTTTTTATTTCCTGCCTATTTTTCCCCCTATTCCTGTAGGATTTCAAAAATCTAGCAGCTGGAGAAGAGAGTAAAACAGCCAAGAAGCTGTAAGAACAAAAATGCGCAATGCCTAAGGCAGCCCCTTTTCATATAACTAAATCTAGATTTGGAGGTCACTATTCAAAAGTTCCTAAAGTGATGCAGGAGCTGAGGTTTCATTGCCAAACGTGACTGAGGGCCTCGAGGCAGAGCCTTGTTGCAGCCTGCTCTCCAAAGTGCAGGTGTCATTTCTAGAGCCAGGGACCCATCATCTTGAGGGCACGTCTGAAAACGTCCCCCTGTCTTTGTGGGGCACAGGGAGGCCAGGCTAGTTGCAACCAGTGGGTTGTAGACAGGCAGCCCTCAGTGTTTTTCGTTTCACCTGGTGGAGCTTTTCCCCCGCAGAGGCCCTTCCCAAGCTTTGATGGGAATGACACATGTTGCAAACCGGAGCCCAAGCACGGGGCAGCTGGAGGTGCTGCAAGGCAGCGTGGCTGGAGATTGAGCTCCAGTTTTGCGTGGATGTTTAGTGCCGCTCTCACTCTTTTAAAGCCGCCGTTTACGCCTGCTCGCCGTCTCCGGGGGAGAACAAGCACGGCGTTTTCTGCAAGTGTCTTGGAACCTTTTCTGTGCGCTCGCTCGGAGCCGAGGGCTGTCGTGATTGCTGTTGTCTTTGCTCCTAATGAAACGCAGTCTGTGCTCCGAGACCTTCCGCAGCTCGTGTTACACGGCGGCGGATCATTCCAGACAGGGCATGCAGGGCTCTGTGAAGGAAGCCAGCAAGTTCTTCTGAAACTCATGTTTTCTCCCTGTTTTGGTACGGTCTTCTCACTCTTCCTGCCCTCTCACACTGCCCTTTCTGTGCTTGGTTCACGGTTCGTCCTCGTGACCGTCTTGTTCCTCGCGCTGACGGTCCCCTCCTTCCCAGCCCTCTACCTGACGCTGGTTGCAGGACTCACCTGTGCCCTGTCTCGGTTACTGTGCTGTAGTTTTGCCTGTGCTATTGGGGTTGTCCTGGCAGGTGATTAAGAGCAATAGATGCATGTTCCTGCCCAGAGCTGTTCTGAGTTTTGGCTCCCTGTCCCCAGCCTTCCCCATCTCTGCAGCCCTGTGCTCATCTCGTGCTGCTGCTCCCATGCCGCCTGCAAGCCTTGCTCTCCTCCTTCCCCTTCAGCTGGGGGGGTTCTCCCGGCCTCCTGGCATCTCCCTCGCTAGGAAGCATGCGGAGACGGCGTCTGGGAGGCCGGGGCCCTGGGCTTTCCTGCCAGCGCGTGGAAAGCCACGGTTAAAGAGCTGAAAGCTTCCAAACGGTCACTGACGGCTTCTGGCTTTCTTCCCCTCCTGTCATCAGTGCCCCGCTCAGGTGGCATTCCAAAGGGACAGTGACAGGAGAGGCTGCTCTTGCTTTATTGCAG